CGTACCTTTCCCTTTTTTGGGCAGGGGAGAAGCTGGCAGGTGGCTGTCGCCCGACCCTCCTCCCGGGCTCCCCTCGCCCAGGCTTTCTCTCTCTTTCGCTTTTTATAGACCGGCCGAGACCGCCCCCCCCGGGGGTCCCTCCGGAAGCCTTCACCTGTTCTGTCAGGAGTTGGGCTTAAATGGGCAGCCTGTAGGCCAGGGAAGAGTCCCCCAGGGAGGAAGTAGCTCTAACTCTATTTCTGGCTGTTCCGCTGCCTTTTTCCTTTGCCTTTCACACGGCGAAATCGCTCCTTCGCTATTCTGGTCCCCAACCCTCTCCCTGCCTCCGCCACTTTTCTTTCACTGACATCCCTTTAGGTGAGTGGCATCTTGGATGGGGAACAAAGTTTAAAAGAAGAACCCTAGTTGGAAGCGAGCCCCATTTTAACACCTGGAACTGCAACTCCCTCTCCTTTTTTCTAAACTTCCCATTCTAATGTCTTGCAAGCCTTTTTGACTCACTCCCGTTTCCCCCCCAAGAGAATTAGGAATTGTTAGAGGAAGAAGAAAACATATATTCTTTAGTTAAGCTTTAAGAGAACGTAAAAAAGGTTAACTCTTGTCTCTGCCTGGCAAATATAGAAACAAAGGATCTTCATTTTAGTGGGATGTCTTTTTTTTAACATAATTGCACTCAAGACTGCTTCACACATCTTTTATGCAATTTATTTAGACTCAGGAATGAAGTATCATATATAGTTATGCAGGCCAAGTTATACTTGACATTTTTGCATTTTCTTAATTCTAAAATGATTTGTATATTGAGAGAAATGCTTTGTTGAAGGGTGTCCTTAAAATGTGAAAATAATATTAATCTTACTGAGAGATATTTCAGGGCCCTATTAATTTCCAGAAATGCAACCGAAACATAAATAGAAACTACTGTATAAAATTATACATTGAACTTATTTTACCTTGGCTGTGTTTTTAGAGGGCATATTTAAAAGTTGCTACTTGTATAATGTAAAGCAATATTTATGACGTGCTTACTCCTGAAATTGCTTTTTTTATTTGCAGCAACACTTATATGGCAACTAATGTATAATCCTGTGCATGACTATTCAGAATAAGGCACATTCAGGGATTTATTCCAAAGTAATTGTGTATAAGTTTCCAGCTTTAAACTTCTCAATGTATCACAATATAATCAATCACATATTCATATTATAATAAGGAATGGTTTACTTTTAGTTTATTTATTGTAGGGCTACCATTTTAAATATTCTTTCACTGAATGTTGTATGCATTTAATGGAAAGCCACTGTGTAAAAAGTTGTATCTTTTTACATGGAAACCTGATTACATATCTAGAGACATAAATCTAAGACTGAAATGAATTGCCCTCAGATTTTTAATTTGTGTGTTAAAAATATATACATATTCAGATAATTTTCCAGTTTACAGAAGAAAATTGTGTCTTTTACTATAAAGAAATAAGATATATTTGTTTTTTCTGGAATGAAATTTTATTATCCCAAAAAAGAATACAATATTTTTTAAAGACAGGCAGTTTTAGTAGAATTCTGAAACAAACGTCTGGATTAGCTTCATTGGCTTTCCTGCTTCTTTTGCATCCCAAAGCATAAGCTTAAATCGGCTCAGAAGGACAAGGTCCGCCAGTTTATGGCAGTTACCCAGGCTGGTGAAAGGACTGCTATATACTGCTTAATGCAGAATGAGTGGAAACTAGAAGTGGCAACAGACAACTACTTCCAGAATCCAGACTTGTACTACAAAGAATCCATGAAAATTTCAATAGACAGAAAGAAATTAGAACAATTGTATAACAGGTACAAAGGTAAGGTTTATTTCTTCACTTTTTCCTTTGAGCTTGATTTCCACTTCAGCTTACACCTTCAGGAGAAAAAAGGGCTACAGTCCCAATATACTTACTAAGAAGTAAGTCCTACTGAACATAGTGGGACTTAGTTCTAGGTAAGCATGAATAGTATCAAGCTATAAACATGAGTGTAGTGATATCTCTATATGTGTGTGTGTATGTGTGTGTGTATTTAGTAAGTGTAATTTATTAAATGTAAAGCTGTTTCTCTTCTTTGTTTCTTACAACATTCTATATAAAGATGTTTTAATTTAAAATATATAATCATCTGGGCACTAATAAATAAAACTACTGTGTATAGAGAAGAGCAAACTAACTACATGTTTTGACTAGATGTGACCTGTTCTATATACAGTAGGTTCTGCACTGTCATTGTGTGGTATAATTAAACTATATTATTGTAATCCATTTCCTGTTCTGGATCACCTGCTTGCACTACAAGTATAAATTGGATGCTCCTCAAAATGTGAATGCTGCTTAAATTTATTGCACTGTTTTCATTGAATATGCTCATAGATGCAATGTCCACATGTGCATTTCAGTCAATATTGAGCAGCACATTCCCCTGAAAGCATTGTTGAAACAGTTAATGCACAGCATTCCATGGGACTTATTCTAACAAGGAACACCTACTCCTATTTACAGGTAGCCCTCAACTTATGACCATTCATTTAGCGAGGTTTGAAGTTATGACGGTGCTGAAAAAAGAGACTTACAATTGGTCCTCACACTTATGACCGTAACAGTGTCCCTGCAGTCACATGATCAAAATTCAGGTGCTTGGCAACTGGCATGTATTTATGATGGTTGCAGTATCCCGGGGGTCATGTGATCACCATTTGCAACTTTCCCAGCTTCCGACAAGCAAAATCAATGGGGAACTCTGTGATTCACTTAATGACTGTGTGATTTGCTTAATGACTGTCACAAAACATGTCATAAAATTGTGGTCATGTGATGCCTCGCTTAAGGATCATACCACTTAACAATGAATTTTCCAGTCCCTATTGTGGTTGTAAGTCGAGGACTACCTGTATAATTTTTCTTGTCAATAAGTATTTTCTTTTAAAGATCTAGTCCAGGTAAAAAGTTGGATAATTTCTTGTATGGATGCCTGATTTATGAAATAATTTTCAGCCACAAGAATCTCTCTGGAAACTTTATTGAAACTCCATTGTTAATTCTGCTTTTGAATTCATATTGCTGCAAACATTTTATATAAGAATTCTGTTGCCTCAGAGACAGTTAGTAAAGCAATTACAAGGAATAAATCACAGAGGGAGTTTTTAATCACACTGTCAAAGAAAATTATATGACATAATTTAACTATGTACTTTAGTATGGTATAGTGATTAATGTATTTAACTGAAATTGGGGGTTAAATCCCCACTTGACCATGATCTTGTAATATTAGGGGACAGATGCTTAAATCTACATAATTAATTTTTGAGGAATAGAGGTCTGTTTATAAAGCTAGAACTAGAGCTACTTGAATGCTAAAGTCATACAATTCTGTAATTACATTGACTATATTTTTTATTATAAGCTAGTCATGGACCATAATTATTGGATTGACTGGGTGACTTTAGACCAGTCACTTTTTCTATGCCCTGTCTATTTCACAGGATTGTGACGATAAAATGAGAGGTAACCACATATATGTCTCTGAGCTTCTTCAAAGAGAGGCAGAATATAAATGGGATGAATGAATAACCAAATACTTTTAATACTCTTTAATTCTACAATAATATATTGTATATTAAGACACAGGCATATTTCTAGATAACCATGCAAATACCTGGCTTTCTCAAAAGATTCAGTCTTTAATTCAGAAGTTCTTATTTGTAGGAATGTACTTTGCCCATGGTGTGGCATACAGGGTTTTCATGCCTAACAGATGTCATTGCTGTTATCTTAATTCCTGAATATATGCCCTTGTTTCCCTTGCAGCATTAAAAAACAATCAAATCCACAAATACAATTATTTCCCAAAAATATAGTTTGTCTTGTCCCTTCCTCTTGATCCAATTCCTGTTCTAAACAGATTTTCTTTGCTCAACAGGGATATTTATTGACAAACTGGAAGAAGTGTGGTTTATTTATTACTGACATATAGTTTACTGATTTTTTTAATGGCCAGAATGTAAAGAAAAAGAGAAGAGAAAAACGTACCAGCCTCAATTAATATTTATAGCTATTTCACTGTTGAACTGTTCTTTAAAATGTATCTTTGATTTGATTTGGGGGGCGGTATTCTATAACTGTTTAGAAAATCAGTAAATCTAGTAAATGGGTTACTTTTTCAATCCCATTTGTTATCTGCAGCCTCAAGTCAGGGTTTTTTTTAAATTCATGATTATTTCTTTTCCATTTCTGGGATATCCCTCAGTCGTTGGGCTATACAGCTATACATTTTGTGCCACAAAATAATAATTTTATTACATGTTTATTTTTATAATCCATGTATGGCTGTTGTGAATTAATCATCATATATGATGTTTTTAGAGGTGGTCATCTATGCTTAGTCTTATCAATATTTTTCATATTCAGATAGTGGTATGTCTGTGTGTGTGTGTATGTTTATATAAAGTTGGTGAGGGAAAAAACCTATATGTTACACACTTACAGTTATCTTTTTGAGTTTGTGATCCTAGTTCTTTTCTGTTAGACTGGACTTCCAAGCATATTTCTGAGGAAATAAATTATAAAAGTTGCATCTTATTTAATTTCTATCATACATCTAAGAACAGGCTTCTTTTGGCTCTCCTTCCTCTGCATCTCCTTCCATGTGCATCATATCTGGAGAGTCCTCTATCTCTGAAATTGATTTGGAGATGCATCAAGAGGGAAAGGGATAAAGGCTTATTTCCGTTGGTGGATAACTTGGATAATCTTAAATCTCCATTAAGCAGACAAAAGTAATGAAAATGTGTTCATTAGTATTACTGAATTAGTTTATTGAGTTATATTTTTAAAAAGCATTAATATCAAACTTAGTAAAGGCATATCATACAAGTTTGTACCTGTCTTGAAGATGAAGGATTTGAAAAGGTCATTGATGGACTGTAGGAAAGTTGTGCTTTCCGTCAGCAGAAAGTGGGAACAAATTAGTGTCATGTCTGCCAAAGCTAACAATAGTGCCAAGGCAATCCTGGGCTTTTTTCCTTCTAAAGGGGTAGATGTATACTTGCTGCCATCAAGCTTTTTAAAATTAAAACTATATATTAAATGTTAGCACAGGTATGCCCCTATAATGATTCAAGGCCCTTAGACATTGCCCAATGTAGGTTTTTACAAGCACTCTTATGTCTCAAGTACTTTAATCTTCACTGGAAACTGGTATGATTCCATTGGAGGCCCATTTGCTGACTCTCCTACTAGCTTAAACTTTTGTTTTCCATTGGTTCATTGGCCCCATTAATTCTCCTTGATGACATTTTATCAAGGTAGAAAATAAAAATTGTAGTTGGCCCGGGCTGTTGCAACTTCTCTCTCTATTCTTTGCTACCCCTAGGTTTAGAGGTAAACCTGAAATCGGTCGAAGAATCTTTGGCATTGCATGGCAGAAGGATTTGGGTATTATAGCCAGTTCTCAGTGCTGTGTTCCAACTTGGAAACCTTTTACACCCGCAAGCTATTTATTCAATCTTGTTTAACCAACATGCTGAATAGCCTTTTCTTTGCCTCATTTCAACACTTTACCCTCTGCAGTACCAGGTGGGAAGTACAGTAGGATTCCATTCACCAAGAGATGCTGTCTTTGTGATCTGAATGAACCTGAGACCCTGTCATATATTTTTCCTTTCCCCTTTCTACAGGAATTTGCTTGCAGGCATACCTTTAACATATCCTAACAAAAATGCAATCTCTTATGAGGGGGAGAGAGTTCCTTTCCTACTCTCGGATCAAAATGTTTCTATCACCAATAGAATTACTAAGTTCTTACCTATAGCAATTTTTGTAAGAAGGCATAAGACGGCCTAATTTTGGAGTGGTGATGTTTTTCTGTTTTGGTTTAGTTTATTCTCTTTCAATTTTACTTTATATTTATTTTATCTTATTTAATCCAGTTTGTTAAGTTTTTTAAGTCATAACTTCTTAGGGTGCAAATGACTGATACACTGCTTTTGTTATATTTGATCAGTGTTTCTATCTTATCTTGCTGGTCAATATGTGGGGATGTTTACCCTTAACTAGTGCTTTGATGCAATTGTCAATGTATTTTAATCTGTAAACTAACAAAACTAATTTCTCAAAGCATTATAAATGATTTTCTTTGCATTCCCAAACCATCTTCTACCATTTACGTCTTGCAATTTACTGTTCCTTAAAACTTAAGTGCCATAGGATTTCATTCCCGGTTGGTTAGCATGGGAAGAGAATGTTTGAAAATGTTATTAAGACTTTCCTTATGAGCATATGGCTACTCTGTTTTGAGATAAAAGGTGCAGTCAGTCATATTCTGCCTTACCCAGACATCTAACTTTTAATGGAATGCTTTCTTCCCTCTGTCCCAAATAAGTACTTTTAGAGGCTTTACGTAATTATCAGTGCTTCAAGCACACAGAGCAGTGGAAGTGATTAGAGGTGATGGTAATGGTTACCCCTAAAGATGCTTATATGAAACATCTGAAATAACAATTTATTACAATAATTGATATTGGAATAGCTCTAACTTGAAAATTAAGAAATATCCATGAAAGTTTAGCCTGCAGAGACTATAAGTTTTATAATATAAAGTACATATTTAGAAATATTGCTTCAGAGAAGAGAAGATAGAAAATCAGTTCTTTCATATACTTCTTCCATACAGACTGTTTAGGGTGGCTTTTTCATAAAAGTGTTGGCAATAATTTGATGCTTTAAGGTTTGAAATTGCTTTCTGTGAAACAATATTGGAGGCAGAAGAAAGGATAATATCTGGGATTTTTCTTATAGTTTCATTGCAGTTCTAATGCAAGGCATAGCATATTCATTCTTCTGAGAAGTATACTGAGGGCTGTACTAAAAAATGAGAGTGGCTAAAAGGGAGAGAGAGATGAGGTTAGGGTTTTTTTTTAAATGTAAGTTAAAAAAATTACTATTTCTGTAACCAGCCTGATGTTTCTAAAAAAATTATAATGGGGATGAGCACATCTGGGGTTGCATGTAATTCTTACAGTCAGACTCCTCTGACCAAGAGTTGGCAGTAAATTGAAGGCCACCTAACTTTGCATGGCTTAGCTCAGTTCCTTGGCTAGAACAAGAACAAACCTTGTTATGGTCAGTGACCAGTGCAGGCTCCTAGGCTAGTACTTGGCAAAAGTCCCACAGATATGGCTTAAGTAAGCAAGGTCCTTCATCACAAACACAAATGAAGCCAAATGAAAGATTGTCTACTGTCAGTGCAAGGGATCCATTCCACCCTTTAACCATGGAAGTTTAAACCCATAACATGCTCTTTTTGCCAAATTAATAGACTGTTGGTTTGGCACCAGGTGACCTTAAAGCAAAGTAGTTGTTAGATGTTAAATGTGTAACTGCCATCTCTGGTCTGAGAACTCTCACCTTAACTCTCACACATAGACTCCAATTGGTAGCCCATCCAAGCACTCTGAGATCATGCTGCTGAAATTTGATAGGAAAATGGCTGATTTTAGTGACATGATTTTCAAAACGTTAAATTAAAGGTAGAAACTAAGCCGCTGTGGAGTAAAATGGGCATCATTTTCCACCACTAGCCATCATAGACAGATAGAACAACTTTCTGAATATGCAATAGAATGAAAAATATTTAAAAAGAAAAGGGAAGCCTCTAGGTTGAAAAAGTTGCTCATTACTGGTTTAGAAGTTACAAAGGGACAGAAAGGACAACATGCTGCCAGGTATACTTTTCCCACTAGTGCCCAATATTCTAAAAGTGAAAAATAAACTGCTACAGATCTGGTAAATGAAAAAAAACACATTGAATCCATATCGGCATTAAATATGACACTTGAAAATGTGAAAATCTGATTTAAAAAAGAAACATAAAATATTTCTGAAGTCTAACTTCATATAAAACACGTCCATAGGTCTTAAGTATATACTGTACTATTCTAGATGTTTTCCATTTGTCAATTTGTTTGGCACTAAGCATCTAAGAGATTTTAAATGGGAAATGGGACATGAAGACCCTAAGGGCAACACCAAAATCTTGGTGAAGAGAGGTTGCCCATCCATGAACTCCAGTGTTTCATGAACAAATCACCTTCAGTTACTTTGTAAATTATAACAGTAATAACTAAACAAAACACAGTTGTTGTTTTTTTTAAATACCCTAGTTAAACTGGATAACTAATTGAACTGGATAATTAAATTACAGTTACATAACCTTACATGAAACCTGATCCTGAATCCTTCATCTGTAATCAGATTTAGTATATACCAGGGCTGCTAAGTGCTTCAGATCTAAAGGCAAAAAGATGATTTGGAGGGTGCTTTCATAGCATTTGTCTGCAACTCCCAAAGTAGCTAAAAATATTTTTAATCCACTCTGATAAAACCATTTCCCCCTCTTCTCATATTCATGTCTTCTTTGTGTTCTACACATTCACAACCCATTTCTACTGTATTCACACCCCTTAGGTTTATTGCAAGCCTGTTGTTTTCACCATCTCTGTTCCTCTCTCTTTGAATATTTCAACAAATGTCTTTCACATTCTGCCACTTGTACCTACATCTGCTTTGTTTATGTATTACTAGTATTTCTCTCCTGCTATTTCCTGTTGCATATGAAGTCAGACATTTTTTTTTCTTTGTATCATTAAAAAAGCCTGGGAACTCATATCTGTTTCTCTACTCGCACTTTAAATCTATTTTGGTCTGTTTCTATCATGCCACTTCTTGTTAATTTCAGCTGTAGTAGTTAGGTTAACCATGCAGTGATGTGTGGTGAAAGAATGAGTATTACCTTTTTTACCTGTTTGCCACATAAGGGGAAAAAGGCAAAATAGATGAACTGAAGCAGGAATTCTTTCCAAACATTTAGCTATTTTCCTTGGGAGAATATAACTTTTTTTGAGGGGGGGAGTTGATTGGAAAATCTCTGGCAGCATTCTTAACAATGCTCTACTTGGGATAAACAAGTAATATTTCAAAAGTATAGAATGTACAAAGAGGTGTCTTTTTTTAAACGGCTGGTGCCTAAAGAATGATGATGTGATGTGGAGAAACATAGAAGCCTGCCTATTAATCCACTGGAGACTTATGTTGCTTAAAATGACAGGAACTTTTTGTTGAAAATAATAAGGGGTAAGAATTTCATCAACAGTGATTCTAAGCCCTAATCAATCTCAGAACTGTTGCTTTTCACCTCAGCAAAAAGTAACGTATTTTTCTCATCTAAATTTACTTGCTCATATTGGAAGAAAGCCACAATAGATCCATAGGTTTTACATTGGGCAGTTGTTTTAAATATCAACACTGTTGCTTTAATTGCTACAATTTTAAGTGAAATGATCTTTTCCATATATATAGAATCACTAACTCCTTTTCTGGCCTGATTTACATGATTATATTTTTCAGGCAGTAAGATTTGAAACTTTAAAAAAGTTAAGTTATAGTTTTAAGAAATCAGAACAACATTGTATGATTATGAAAAGGTTACACATCTTTAATGTAAAATATAACATCTTGTTTTGTTTTGTTTTAAATACAGACCCACAGGATGACAATAAAATTGGGATTGATGGAATTCAGCAATTTTGTGATGATTTAAGTCTGGACCCTGCTAGTATCAGTGTTTTGGTCATAGCATGGAAATTCCGGGCAGCGACTCAGTGTGAGTTCAGTAAGAAAGAATTTGTAGATGGCATGACAGAGCTCGGGTGAGTATGACAGTCTTTATTAGAATTCCTTTTTTTTAGTACATCAAAACTATCTGAATTTGTCAAACTGGTTAAAAAATTCAATTATATGAAATGTACAAAGAATTATGCAACTATCTGAAACATGCTTGTGGCATTAAAATGCAATAGTAACTTGCCTAATTCACTGTGCAAGAACTGTAAAAAAGGGTTTTAGTGTAAGCCTATGGTTTACTAAGAGTGCATAAACATCTTAAAATTGGTAAGGAATAATCCAGTTCCTCAGTTCTGAATTTGTTTCTTCCCCTCCACAGACCATATTTTGCATTCAGTTGGAGTGCTTTCTAAGTAACTGGATCACTTCTTTCAATTGAAACCTACTTCATTTTGTTTTAAAGTGGCCTTTTTGAAGGCAGACAGTTCTGGGAGCAGCAATCTTATTTGATGACACTGAAACACAAATACTGTGGGACATACTATTATTATAAGGTTAATTGATTTTGGTGGGAACCAAGTACAACTTGGTATGTATCCAGCCCTGTCTCTTAACTCCGATTTGGGGATTATTATAGCTATAGTTAAAAAGGGTAACTGTTTCAATTACTAGATTAATCATGTATTCACCATATGGATTAAGATGACTAAAATGCCTAGAAAAATAAAAATGTCTTTATTTGGCACCAAAAAAAAGTTAGTACCAAGTGTATTTCACTGAGAATGCTTTTCCAGAGATGGATCTTCCACTCAAAAGGCCCATTCCCAGGTAGATGCTGGACACATCTTGGCATAAAGGGCATCCAGAGCAGAGCCCCTGAAGATGATGGGTGGGAACATATAATTAAGACTGTTGTTTCAAGCATTATGGTCTCAAACCATGAAAGGTTTTATAAATTTTTACTAATACCTTGAATTGGAACCACAAGCAAATTGGGGCTACTAATAATTGTATAAGACCAGTGTACTATGTTCATAGTGCTAGTTCCAATTCATACTCTTGTTGAACTATTTTATACTAACTGAAGTTTTTGGCCTACCTTGAAGATTAGCATCATATAAAACACATTGCGGTAATTTACATAAGAAATTACCAGGGCATGAATTAGCATAGCGAGGCTGTCTCTGTCAAAATAGCACTATAACTGGCACAGCAACATAAGCCAAGAAAAGATACTTCATGCACATAGCACACTTATGCCTTTAATTACATAAGATATAGAAGTTTCTATATAGAAACTTCTATATCTTATGTAATTAAAGGCATAAGATATAGATTGATATAGAAGTTTCCCAAATTAGGAGGAGTGCAGTCTCTTTAGAATAGGCTGTACATCACTCACCTAGACAGATAAACCACCTACCAATAGCATCTCTGTCTTGTTTGGATTGAGCTTTCTTGACGGTCATCCAGTTCATATACTGTGGCCAAGCATTGATTCACCATTTTCGCTTCTTCCCCTGGATCTTATGAAAACAAGAGGGTTGTATGTCAGCAGCATACTGATGATATTTTACTCTAATTTCTGAATTATCTCATTGAACAGCTTAATGTGGATGTTAAACCTTATGGAGGAAAGGAATAGGGAAGGCTATAATTATTCAGATCTGGATCCAAGTTTGTTTTTTACCATAGTCTTTGTGAATGAAGGCCCACTCCTTCATTGAATGTAAAGTCAAACTTTATTTAAATGACCAGCATAAAAAAAAAAAAGACAAACACATCAAAGAATATTCAGAGTGAAAAGCATCAGACCAATGTTACTTTTAAAATGCAAATAGACTATTATGTGACAAAACATTTATTTTTTAAATCTACGCATATGGTCACCTATCTCACTAATGCAGTTCTGGGCAGCAATAAGTGTTAATATTATTAACACTAAACTATAACTCTTAAATTAATACTCAGAATCTAAAATAATATTTTAACAATAAAGGTGTAAAAGTAGAGCTAATGCATACAATCAGAAGGAGAAACATGACATCTCTTAAGTAGTTTATAACCTCCTGAACTCTTTTTTATTGGTCAGTGACCGAAATATAGTTTCTGTCTGTCTGTCTAACCTCCTGAACTCACCCAAGTACTCTTACCCTGCCAGATGTAATAAGCTGTAGTAGGGTCAAGTAAGCAGATCAATCTCTACCAAGCATCTTGTCATCAGAACATAACAAATGAAAGTCATAAAAAGACTTATCTTTACAAATTGAACTGCCAGAATTGCTGAGTCTTAAGTCATGACAAATATAATTGATTTTATCCTCAAAGCCAACATGTCACAATGTATTACCAAGGATCTATGTAATCTTATGCTGGGCCATTCTAAGAAGGCCCCAAACCACTGAAAGAAATTCTGTTTCTTTACCTCCATCCCTGCCATATAGTAGGCTTCAGTAATGAGCTGTTACTAGTATTTAATCAGATTTGATATGTTTTTCCTCCATCTGTATTATAACAGCCTTCCAAACTGCTTCATCATGTCAGTTGCTCAAATCATATCTGCATTTTACAGAACAACCAAGACCTTTCACAGGAGTATCTACCATGTTAGCTAGAAAATCTAGAATTTTCTGGAACACATTGGGATCTATTCATTCCAAGGTGGACTATCCTAGGGTTTCCCACAGAGAGGAATAGTTGCTGTAACTCTAAATCTCAATAGGAAGTGGTTCTACCATGGCAAGGGAACAGCTCCCTCAACTTCAGAGTTCCATTCTCCTTTCTAGTGGGACCCTCCCTGCAAAAACTGAAATATGTCCCACCACATGTATTAGGTCAGTGACAAGGTAGGGCAGACCCATAGTTGTCAAGGCTGCCACAGAACCCTGAGCTGCGCCAACCATGGTGGTTTTGGCATGGAAATTCCCCTTTTGGGCTCTTCTCAGCACCAAGTCTGAAATTACCCTTTTCAACTCAGGTTGTTGTACAGCAGGTTGTGCAGTAGTTCACTGAATCTAATCTGTTCCAAATGTAAAATACAAGTACTTGAGAAGAATGGGAAGCTTGGAGAGAGCAAGATTTTTTGCCATTCCCACACGTTGGGGGCTTACTAGTCAAGAATAACATAGCCAGCTCTCTGATCCAGCCTTCAGTTGTACCTGGGTAGTCCTTTCATTCACAATCAAATCAAGGATGAGGAGAATCTTACTGTTCACAAATCTGACTTTAACAACAGGACCAGCAAGCTAGAGAGTAGGCCAGGATGATTACCACACTTCAGCTAAATGAGGGAATAACCAGAAGAGAGGAAATGTACAAGATGTCTAACTTGTCTTCTCCCAACCTGACATAATAATCTGCCCAGACAAACTTTCCCTAATTTCAGCCCTCTTCTTCCTTCTACACTATTATGGGAAACCTCTTCCAGACACATACGCTAAAAGGAAAAAAAAGTAGCCTTCATCCTTATTCCATCCTCAAGGGACTTTGGACCTAGAGTAAATATCTTACCACTCTTCAGAAGCCTTTACGATCAGGTCATGCTAATGTCCCAGAGTGGTGGTGGTGGTGGTGGTGGCAGAATTTATGGTTCTGGTGATGCTGCTGTTCTTTTGAGGACTGGAGTAAATTTTCCCAAAAAAGGAAAATGCAAGCATACGTGCTGAAATTCCTTATGCAAGCTTAAGTTAAGCTTTGCTTAAGATCTTACAAAGAAGAATAGAACCATGTATCGAGATTAGATGAATATGCAGGTATCAGAAAAGGCAGAGGGACATAAGATCATATGCGGTAGAGATAGGGAGAGCAAGCAAATGTATAAGATTTACCTGTGATTTATTGACTATAGTGAGACCTTTGTGCAGGATTTATGCCAGAATGTGGACTATATTAAGAGTAATAGGTATGTCAGAATATTCCATAATTCTTCCAAGGAATCTTCACAGTACCTTGTTCACAGAACAAGAAGCTACTATCAAATCTGAATTTGGAGGAGTTGTTCAGAACTGAGAAGAAAATGAGATAGATGCATATTGTCCCCATATCTGTTTGATTTTTACAATGGACTAATTTCAGATTTGTCATAAAAATGGCATTAAAGTTGAAATAAAAATGGATTGGGCACACTGAACATTTACCTAACAAAAGTGACATGGTGGTCCTACAATTACACACGCCTACTCGGATAACTTCCTGCAAGATGGAAAAGTGGACTACAAAAAGATCTTAGTTCCAACTGGAATACCATGGTGAAACACTAAATGAAATACAAGTATCTGTTGAAGTTATCACTTCAAATATCAACACTATTCAGATGAATATCATGATAAAGTGAAAGTAATCGGTTTAATTTACACAGCAAATAGACTATAAGAATGGCAAGATTGGAAGAGATGACAGATGGAATGAAAGTTAAAGGCCAAAACAGTTTGAGAGATAACATTAGTTTGTTAACTGAAAGTTAAAAGGAAAGTGAAAAATCTGGATAAATGTTAAATATTAAGAAGACAAAGGAAATGTCAACCAGCATGTTTAGTGAACCAAATAAAGACTGATTGTCTCCATTAAGCAACATTCAGTAACCAAAACCTCACATACTTAGGGAATGTCATGTGAGCAAACTAGTAAAAACAACTATGGTTGGGAAGGTTGAGGGAAATAGCAGAAAAGAACAATGGATGACATCAAGAGGCAGGAATGCCTTAGAAGACTTATAGATTCTCACAGGTTGAGATGGCAGGTGTTTTTCCATACAGTCACCATGGATTGGACCTAAGTTGATGGCACCTAACCAAGTGGTTCCCCCAACCAAATGATTAAATAAAATCATAGCTGTTCTTTTTTCCCCAGAGAATTCTTTATTGTTGAGCTTATTTCTGTTCAAGGACTGTAATCCAATTACAATCCTAGAAGAACAATGTAATATGAGAAAGTAGTTCATGTACACATCAGATATCTATAAGACAATAGTGAAAAAATATTATAAAACCCCAGTATGACTTGCTTGTGCACCTAAGAATAATATACAGCAGTAATTAAATTTAAATAATACTAATGCTGATCACAAGGATGTGATTTTTGCCTGTGTTGCTTACTAGAAAGTCAGAAGTGTTTTCTTGTTTTCTGCCCACTGAAATTGGACTTTACGATCATCAGAAGTACAGCAAGTGGAGAATGGATGGTGTATTTTATCTGCTGCTGTCTATAACTATTTGGTTTTATGATGATGATTTCTTAGTTGAGAATTATTATTTTGTATTGTCGAAGGCTTTCATGGCCGGCATACGATGGCTGGTGTGGGTCTTCCGGGCTGTGTGGCCGTGTT